TGCTTTCCCTGACACATTAACAAGGAGATGGACCAGAAGCGGAACAGCCGAAACTCCAACCAGCACTTGAAGAAAGCCTGTGTCTTAGATGGTGGCTTGGCTCACTGCACCACAATGCAGGCCCCTAAAAGTTATTTCAGTTTTATTTTTCTCTGGTATCTCTCCTAGATCCAGAAGGTCAACAGCCCTTTGAATAGGGTTATTTTCTCAGCAATTTGTAGGGTTCCCATACTCCTTTATTGTTTATTGTTAGAATTTTATCATTACATAAGCAATGATTTTTAGTTATCAATGTAAAAGATTAAACCTGGTCTTTTCCAAAAGTACTAGTGTTACCGGCTTGAAGTGGATCTTTTGAATGTGATACTGTCCAATAATGGTAACCATTACCATGTGTGGTTATCAAACAGTTAAAATGCGGGTAGTTTGAGTTGAAATGTAATGTAAATGTAAAATGCACTCTGGACTTTGAGGCTTAGAATAAATAAAAAGAATGCAAGCTTGCTAAGTTTTTAATATTTTTATAGTATTATGGTCATATATTGGATTAAATCAAATAAATTAGTTTTGCTTTTCTTTTTTTACATTGTATGTGATTATTAGAGAATTTAAATTGCATTTGTGGCTGATACTATGTTTCTATTAGACAATGAGATTCTACCCCATTTTATGTATTTTATTCTATACATTTAAATATACATGCACTCATATATCAAAATGTATGGCTTTATTTTTCATAAATAGGAAACATGATGTTGTTCTTCAGATTTTTTTAAAATGATTTATTGATTCGAAAGAAAAAACAACAGATCTTTCATCTGCTGGTTACTGCTCAATTGGCCAAAATAGCTAAGTGGCAGCCAGGAGCCAGGAAAGTTGTCCTGGCCTCTCACAAAGTTTCCAGGGGCCCAAGTACCTGGGCCATCATCTGCTGCCTTCCCAGGCACTTTAGCAGGAAGCTGGATCAGAGAGGGAGCAGCTGTGACTCTAACTGGTACTCTGATGTGGGATAGTGGCATTGCAAGTGGTGCCCTAAGCCCTCTGTTCCGCATTGCCAGCCCTTGTCCAAATTTTTTTTCACTTAATAGTTTTGAACTTCTTTTTACACCAGTTCCCATAGACCAACCATATTATTTTGAACTTCTCTGTGGGAGTATGTATTATGGGTATTCATTTATCCACAGATGAGCAGTCATATTTTGTTTTTGCTGTTACAAATATGCTTGCAGTAAAAAGATCTTGTACAAGTCCCTTTGAATTTTTTAAAGATTTATTTATTTTTATTTATTTGAAATCGAGAGTAACAGAGAGAGAGAGAGAGAAGGAAGAGAAAAAGAGAGTTATCTGCTGGTTTACGCTCCAGACGGCTGTAACAACCAGGGCTTCTATAATTTAGAATTAGGTTATCACCTGAGAAGTGAGTTGGCTGAGTCAACAAACTTTATTAAAATTTTTTCTTCTAGCATTATTGAGGTATAGTTGTCAAGTAAAAATTATATCCATTCAAGGTGTAGTGTGATGGTAACATACATGTATACCTTGTGTAAATATTACCATTATCAAATTAATTCAGATATCCATCACCAAACATAGTTACTTATGTGTTTGTGTAGTGAAGACATTTAAGATCTATTCTTGAGGCTGGCTTGTGGTATAGAGTGTAAAAGCTGCCACTTATGATGCTGGAATCCCATATGGGTGCCAATTCGTGTCCCAGCTGCTCTACTTCTGATCCAGCTCCCGGCTAACGGCCTGAGAAAGTCAGCAGAAGATGGCCCAAGTGTTTGGGTCCCTGCCACCTATGGGGAGACCTGGATGAGGCTCTTGGTATCGGCCTGGCTCAGCCCTGACCATTGCAGCCATCTGGGGAGTGAACCAGTGGATGGAAGAACTCTCTCTCCCTCTCTCTCTCTGGAACTACAGAGAGGCAGAGAGAGAGAGAGATTGATTGATTGATTGTTTGATTGATTGATTCTGTATTGGTTCACTCCCAAATGACCATAACAGTCAGGTTCGGGCCAGCCTGAAGCCAGCAGCCAGGAGCTTCATCCAGTTCTCCCACAGGGGTGACAAAGGCTCAAATGCTTAGACTGTCTTTCACTGCTTTTCTCAGACCATTAGCAAGGAGCTGGGTGGGAAATGGACCAGCTGGGACATGAACTGGTACATGTATGGGATGCCAGTGTGACAGGTGGCAGACCACAATGCTGTCTCCTAGAGAAAGAAAGAGAAATCTTCCATCTGCTGGTTTACTCCCCAAATGTCTGCAATTGGGCCAGGCTGAAGCCAGGAGCCAGGATTTTCATCTGGGTCTCCTGTGTGGGTGCAGGTGCCCAAGGACTTGGGCTGTCCTCTGTTGCTTTACCCAGATGCATTAGCAATGAGCTGTATTGGAAGCAAAGCAGCTGGAACTTGAACTGGTGCCCATAAGCGATGCTGGCTTTACCCGCTATGCCACAGCCTTATCCCCCCACCTCAAATATTCTTAATTACAGTCACCATGATCTACATTAAATTCTCCAAAATTTGATCATCTGGTTCCTGAGAGTTTGTACCCTTTGATCATCATCTTCCCACATCTGCGTTCCCCGCCCCTAGCCCTGGCAGCTACCATTCTACTCTCTGCTTCTATAAACTTGACTTTTTAAAGATTTCACATATGCAGGTCTGGCTTATTTCACTTTGTATAGTGTCCTCCAGAGTCATCCATTCTATCAAAAATGGCAAGATTCCTTCTTTTCTTTATCTGAATAACATTCAGCCTTATGGATATTATTGATTATGTATTGTTTTTGTATGTGTCGTATCTTCTTTATCCATTCATCTCTTGATGGACACTTTGCTATTGTAAATGATCCTGGAATGGACATGATGTAAGTATTTCTCTGAGATGCTGAATTCATTTCCTTTGGATATATACCCAGAAGTGGGATTTCTGGGTCATACGGTAGTTTATTTTTAGTGTTTTGAGCCCAAGCACTTGGGCTATCCTCCACTGCACTCCCGGGCCATAGCAGAGAGCTGGACAGGAAGAGGAGCAACCGGGACAGAATCCGGCGCCCCCACCGGGACTAGAACCTGGTGTGCCAGAACCACAGGCGGAGGATTAGCCTATTGAGCTGCAGCGTTGGCCTCTACTAGTTTTAAGATGCTATTTTATTCTCTTCCACTCTCTTGTTTGTGATAAGAAATTAGCCATGATTCATATTGCTGCCCTCTTACATAATATATTTTGTTCTTTTGGTTTTCAGCATTTTCTCTTCTTTTTTCAACAGTGTCACAGTGTTGTGTGTGTTGTATGCATGTGTGTATCTCCTGCTTGGGTTTTGCTGAGCCTCTCAAATCTATAAATTAATAGTTGTCATAAAATTTATGCAATTATTACTTTGCCTACTTTTCTATTCCATTCTCTTTCTTTGTGATTCTATTGATATGTATATTAGCCATTTGATATCAATCCACAGATCACGAAGGCTCTGTTTATCAATAATTTTTTTCTGTGGTTTTGAGTTTAGTTCTGCCTTTGTGTTTATTGGCTGTCTCTTCTGCCAATTTCCTAACCATGGGTGTGGCCAACCAGTGAATTTTTCAGTTCCACTAATGAACTGGGATTTAATGTTGGAAATTTGGATCTTTTAAAATATTTTACGGTTTCCAGTTTTCTGTCATGATGTCTCATCTATTCAATGATAGCTATCATTTCCTATTAGACCTTTAATATAGCTGTAATAGCTGCATTGGAGTCCTTTGCCCATTGAAATGTGTGTGAGGCAACTTGGAATCAGTTTCTATTGATTGCGTTAACATTAATTATTTAGAAAAAGTAATGAGCATTTGTAGCATTCCCCTTAGTTCCTTAAAATTTTCACCAACATTGTCTGGATTTAACTAGCTTAAATATTTTTAATGTTTATTTTTTCATCTACTTAAAAGGCAGAGTGAAAGAGAAAGAAGGGTGGTGGGGGGAGCTTCCATCTGCTGGTTCTGTCCTCAGATGCCCACAACATCGGAGGCTGGGCCAAGCCAAAACCAGGAGCCCAGAACCCCATCCAGGTCTCCCATGTGGGTGGCAAGCACCCAAGTACTTGAGCCATCATCTGCCTTCAGGGGTGTGCACTAGCAGGAAGCTGGAGCAAAAATGGAGTAGCTGGAACTCAGATCACATACTCCAATATGGGATGTAGGAGTCATAAGCAGTAGCTTAAGCCACTGTGCCTTAATATCCACCTCAACTTATTGAAGTCTTTAAAACCATGTGCCATAGTAATCTCTCTGAAATGTTTGCAAATGTGATATTCATCAAGAAATTAGTATATGCCATGTACTCTATATCTTAAGATTAACGGCCCTAACTGTAGCCTCCAAATTTGGTGAAAATGTATCCATTATGCAGTAACAAACAAATAGATACTCAGAAGTTGAGAAGTGGGCAGTTGGCATACTAACAAGATGCCAGGTAGAATGTCCCTGTGCCACATCAGAGTGCCGCAGTTCAACTCCTGGCTCCAGCTCCTGATCCCAGTTTCCTGTGAATATACACCCTGGGAGGTAACAGGCAACAGGCGATGGCTCAAGTACCTGGGTTCCTGCCACCCACGTGGGAGACCTGGGCTGAGTTCCATACTCTGAGCTTTGGCCCCCAACCGTCACAGGCATTTAGGGAGTGAACTGGCCTATGGGAGCTTGCTCTGTCTCTGTCTTTCTCTCTCTCTCTCTCTCTCTCTCTCCATCTTTATTTCTCTCTGTCTTGAAAATAAATCAGCAAGTATTTTAAAACAGAAGTAGAAGAAGAAGTCATCATCATCAATGACGTTTGTCCGCAGCCCTGTGACATCCATCTGTGTTTAAGGTCACCCCTGGCTGCTCTGCCCTCACACTCATAAATGGGCACCTGAATCTAAGTGAAGGAACATTGAGTCAATCATTTATGGGTTTGTAGATATTTTTTGGCAGGGAAAAGAACCTATCCAACTCTCATTGATGTTGATTTCAATTCACAGGTTTTTTGTTATAATCTTGTTTGCTGTCACCATTGTCTGGGTCCCTATTATGAACACGCTCCAGAGCGAAACACTCTATGAATACAAGCAGGCAGTCAGGAGTTACTTGACGCCACCCATTACTGCCATCTTCCTACTTGCCATCTTTTGCAAGAGAGTCAATGAGAAGGTGGGTGTCGGCACGGCCACCACATGGGGTGGTGGGAGGGGCTTTGCTTTCACACTGGCATAGGCTTTGCAGGAGTCGCCCTAGGAGGGTGTCTTGCGCTTCCGGAGTTCCCACTGTGGGGTCGTTTGCTCCCTGAGAGATTATTTCCTCCTCGATGGCAAACCTGGTCCAAGCTCCCTCTTGTGCATGGAGGGGAAGGGAGAGCTCTCATTCGCTGTCCTGCCTTTATGATGTAATCCACGCTCACCCATGCCTCGGATGGTGCAAAATGGCCCTGATTCTCCCTCACTCACTCGTATTTGGCTGTACGAAGATTTCCTTCTGTTGCTCATGGATGCATTGTGCTCAGAGACTTCATCCTGCACAGAAACAGCCTCCTCCCACCTCCCCTCCTGAGGTGATGATTAGTTTGAGCATCCCTTTCAGCCACACTGAAGTTCAAATGAAATCCCAATTAATGGTTTGATCACTGCATCCTTAAGACTTCGAAAGCACAATTTGCCCAAAAACAAATGTTTGAGTCTTAAACCTTCTTTTGCGAAACAGCGCAGAGCAGCAGAGCCTTCCCCAGGTCCCTGTGCGGTGCTGAAGGACGCTGTGACCTAGCGCTGCCTACCTGTGGGCCTTGGCCTCTCCGTGCGAGGTCCCAGCTGCTCCAAACAACCTGTAGTTCCGAGGTCCTTCTGCAGCCACTCCCCACCCCATCCTTTGCATGGACCGTTTGCTTTACCAGAAATATCTGTTTGCCCCCCCACACCTGGCCAGTGCCTTCTTCCAGACTCATCTCAGGGGCTCCGTTCTCCAGAGCAGGGGTGGAGAACATTCAGCCTGCAAGCCATGGAAAGCCCTGCCAGGGCAACCACGGGCGAGACTCAAAACTCAATAACTCTACAGCATTTTGTGATTTTGTATGGCCTGCAAATGATGTTACAATTACCCAAATGGCCCTTGGCATAAAAACGTCCCCCCTCCCCCGCCCGCCTTCTCTAGACCAACTGGCTGGAGCAGGACTCCTGCTCCTGCTCCGCCCTCTCAGCGAGATTCACTGTAGCCAGGCATGCGCCCCGAGGACGCCAGAGCTGCTGCTCTGCTCCGCTGGAAGGCACATGGGCAAGCGGAGCAGGAGTGAGGGGATTTTGCCTCCCAGGCACGATGCCGGCCTCAGGGTCTGGGAGCCCAACACCAGGGAAAATGCTGGGGGCAGAGTCTGGTCGTGGGCTTCCTGCCACCACACCTAAGGCCAGAGAACTCTCCAGGCCTCTCCCCTGCTATGGCCGGGGGCTCCTCATCTGGCTTCTGCCCTTTGCCTTCAGTAAGTGAGTCCTGCCTTCAGGTCCTACCTCGACGTACTTGCCTATATACAAGGGGCTTTCAAAAGGTTCATGAAAAATGAATGTTATGGGGGGAAAAACTATGCCTACATAAGCGTATCCTTTACTTCCATTTTCCATGAAGGTTTTGACCTCGCACTGTGTCCTCTGTCTCCTCTGCCATCCGTGCCCCTGAGTCAGGCCCAAGACCGGTCCTTGCTCTCACAGAGTAGAGGTGCAGGTAATGGAGGTGGAGGGGACAGACAACACCGCTGAGGAGGTTGAGGTTTCTGACAGTCGTGTGGTGCTGTTTGGGAGAGAAGACAGGGAAAGGGCTCTGGTGCAGTGGTTGAAATGCCACGTGCGACACTACCTCCCGTTTCAGAGTGCCTCGTCCCAAGTCCTGGCTCTGCTCGCGATGCCAGCCTCCTGCTAATGTGCACCCCGAGAGGCAGCAGGTGACGGCTCCAACACCTGGGTCCCTGCCAGCCACGCGGGAGACCTGGATTGCATTCCCATTAACTAAGGAGGTGGGAAAAGACCTCTCCAAAGAAGTGACCTTGAATCTGAAACCTGAAGGGCAAGACAGAAATACCAAGATCTGGGGAAGCCCCAAGCAGACAGATGGGCAAGGGGGAAGACCCCAGCCAGAAACAGAAGGGCAGGCTGGAGGTGTGGGAAGATGGCCGCGATGACCGGAGGGAAAAGACCAAGGAGATAGAGCCGCTGGGCCGGGCTGGGGGTGGGGGCGTTGAGGTCTGATTGTGTTGGACGTGGTGGGACGTCATTGGAGGCTTTAGACAAAGGCATGGCATCCCCCAAGGGGAGCCTGGAGAGAGCACTCCAGCTCCTGTGACCAAGCAGGGGACCAGGAAGGGCCCACCTGCTCCTGAGAAGAGCACAGGCCGGGTTAGGTCTGGGTTGCCATGGAGATGGTGGCGAGAGCTGGGATCCCGGATACCTTTGGGAGGCACAGCCAACAGGATCTGGTGAGAGGCGGGACAAGATGGAAAGGAAGGCGGCAGGGATGGCACCTGAGATTTTGACCTGAGCAGCCAGGGAGACGGAGGGGCTATTCAGAGGACTGCGGAATACAAGACTCTTTTTTTTTTTTTTTGACACATTTATTGAGATGCCCATTCATTATCTCACTCAAGAGTTTTTCAATCCTCTGATTGACCCAAGAGAGTGCAGGCGTCTCAGGCCTGGCATGTCCTCACCGTCACACACTCTGCTTCTGTGAGGTCCCGAGATGGCCTCCCCAGGACAAGTTTAAGTTCAGTGGCCTCGTCAGGAGAGTGAGGGTGAAGCCAGTCGGTCTCATGGCGTCTCCCTTGCAGGTGACTCTGTGGGCCCCCTTCTGATTGTAGAAATCCACTGGTACATTTTAAAACAAATGTATTCCATTATGCTGGCAAAGGCTTATGTGCAAAGAACAACTGTTCAGATTTAAGCTGCACAAAGCATCCCCAGGAGCACTCGTGGCAGGGACTCTGGGCCCAGTGTGGCACCCAGGGCTGCTCTCCGCAGCACACATCCTCCTTGGTCCAGTGGCCCCTACGGCCCGGCCTTCCGGTCTGATCCAGCCCAGGGCAAAACCTCCTGAGCAGGGATCTCAGTCTCTCAGCCTGGAAAAAGCGGCTTTCAGTCCATTCACGTCTCCAAATTTCTTTTTTCGTCCGGCTACCTTTAAAACATGCTCCATTATTTATTTTTACTTGACAGGACGAGAAACAGAGATCTTCCACGCACTGGAGTCCCGGCCCCCGCTGATCAGGGAGTCGCCTGCACCGAGGTAGCCCCAGCCCGGCACCAGCTGTGCAAGCAGAGGCACTGGTGAGCGGACTGCAGGCCGCCGCCGGGATCTGGCGAGGGTCCAGTCCAAAAGGCAAGGCCAACCAGAGCCTGGGAGGACACAAGGGAGGTGGGGGACGGTGCTTGCCGAGCCCCGGTGCAGGGAACCTGGGAGAGAGATGGGGACCTGCCTGCAGCCACTGCTGTCAGCACCCGGCTTCTAGGGCAGCCAGGAGGGGCGGGACACTCGGGCTTCCTGGGCCGGCAGCCGCCGGGTCGCAGGAGCGCCCTCTTCAGGCAGGGAGCTGTGGTGCCGTGCTCCCGCTGCCCCGCATCAGTGCGCAGGCGCAGAGAACTCCCGCGCCACCTCAGCATGCTCAGCAGCCATGGAGCGGCTCAGAGATGGCCCCGAGGGCTGGCCGCCTTTGCGCTGTCGCCAGCGTTCCTTTCTGATTGGTTGGTTGGTGCCTTCCACGGTACCCAATGGAAGTGAACCTCTCAGGAGCCCTCATTTGAATAGCGGGGCTATAAATGTGCTGTCCGGGGCTGGGTCAGCCGTATTGTGTTTATTTTCTGAGGTGGAGGGTTGTCGCCTCCAGGATGTCCAGCGCGCCAGGCTTGACCTTCAGGACCGGAAGACGCTGTGGAGAGGCCCGAGGGCAGAAAGGGCCGGCACACGGACACGAGGGCTCCAGGTGCCGGGCGGGTCCGCCTCCCGCCTGGAGAACGTCCCTGGTCCCGGTGCCCGGTGCCGCGCGTCGCGTCGCCATCCCCGCGCTGCCCCTGAGGCCCGGTGAGTCCTGTGGTCAGCGTCTGAGGGGGCGTCGCGGGGTGGGGGTCGTGACCGGAGGCCCGGGACGCTCTCCCGGGGGTGGGAGCCGGGAGGAAGCCTCCAGGACGCTGGGAGTGTGTGTGTCGGGGACTCGGTGCTGCTCGGGGGCGGCTGGTCTGCTGGGTGTCCTGCTGCGGGTGCTGCCGGGGCGGTGAGGTCCTGAAGTTGGAATAGAGGGAGGAGTTTTTGTTGTTGTTGTTGGTCATGGTTAAATTCCACGTGAGAATTACGACCTGCGCTGTGTTTTCATTAAGATTGTGTGTGTGTGTGTGTTGTGTGTGTGTGTGGTGTATTGTGTAAGGTTTCCTTGCAACGCTTCTGTTTCTCATGCTTTGGGCTTATCGTTGGGAAGTATTGGGTGCGGAATCATGTTACCTCTTGGGCGATGGTTTTTAGCGTGACTAGTATTCATATTTAGGGCGTGTTCTTGCGGTGTTGTTGCGGTGTTGGTTTGTATAACTGCCTTGTCTACTGAAGGGTGTCCTGAAACTTGGAGGTCACGTGTTGGGGTTTTGGGTGCCTTCCAGTTGGGCGGGTGTGTAGAATGATGTGAAGGGTGGGTGGTGATAAGGTGGAAATTGTTACTGGGTTTTAGAATGCAGAAGATGGAGTGACTTGAGGTTGAGGAAGTTGGCCTTTGTGGTTGTCCAGCTGTGGTGTCCTAGTGATGAAAGTTGGTTAATGTGGGTGCTGGCACAGTTGATTGGTCATCGTTACACTTTTATTTTTTACTTGATTCTTTTATTTTTTACTTGAAAAAAATTTTTTTAGTTTATCAATAGTTTTTTTTTGAGGTAGCATTCTTGGTTCCCATTGTGGTCGAAGGCTTAGTGCTGCACCAAGTGAAGAGTTCAACAAGTACAGAGTGAAAAGCCCATAGCTGAGCAGGAGTGTAGGCAAGGGCTGTAAGTGATCATCAAATTAAAAGGGTTTCAAATTCATTCATAAATTTTAAAAGTCACAGAATCATTAAAACTGTAGTAGTGTCTAATTCTTCACTGTGACAGAGATTTAAACCAAAGTTTGTGTGCCAGTGCTGTGGTAAAGCAGTAAAGCGTCTTTCGAGTCTCCCACAGGGGTGCAGAGTTCCAACACTTGGGCCGTCCTCCACTGCCTTCCCAGGCCTTAGCAGAGAGCTGGATCGGAAGTGGAGCAGCCAGGACTCGAACCAGCACCCATATGGGATGCCGGCACTGAACAGGCAACAGCTTTAACCCACTGTGCTAGGCCCTCAAACACTTACGTATCTTGATTTAGGTGCGTATTGTGTATCTACTTTATCTAACCCCTGTAGGTGTTTGAGTTTGTTTTTGTTTTGAGGTAGCATTCTTGGTTTCCATTGTGCCAAAGGCTTAGTGCTGCACCAAGTGAAGAGTTCAGCAAGTACAGAGTGAAAAGACTGTAGCTGAGCAGGAGTGTAGGCAAGGGCTGTAAATGATCATCAAATGAAAAGGTTCTCAAATTCGCTCCTAAATTTTTAAAGTCACAGAATCATTAAAACTGTAGTAGTGTCTAATTCTTCACTGTGACACAGATTTAAACTAAAGTTTGTGGGTCCAGTGCTGTGGTAAAGCAGGTAAAGCTGTCACCTGCAGTGCCGGCATGCCCTATAGGCACTGCTTCAAGTCCCTAGTGCTGCACTTCCAATTTTTGTTCTAAATTTTAGCAACTGCATGTAGCAGAGAACATGCGGTATTTTTCTGTGTTCAGCTTATTTCACTCAACTTGATGTCCTCCAGTTACAGCCTTCAGATCGGCACAGTTCTGGCCGTTGCGGCCAATTGGGGAGTGAACCATCAGATGGAATACCTCTCTTTCCCTCTCTCTGCCTCTCCTCTCTGTGTAACTCTGACTCTCAAGTGAAAAATAAATAAATCTTTAAAAAAAAAAAGTGGAGCAGCCGGGACTCAAACTGTCATCTATATGGGATACTGGCACTGCAGGTGGCAGCTTTACCCACTACGCTACAGCTCCAGCTCCTGTTTTTCTGTCTTTAAGTTAACTTTTTTTTTCTTTCAAAGATTTTTAAATTTATTTTTGAAGTCAGAGAGATGGAGAGAGAGAAAGAGATCTTTCATTCACTGGTTCATTCTCTTGATGGCTACAATGGCCAGGGCTGCACCAAGTCAAAGCCAGAAGCTTCATCTGGGTCTCCTACATGGGTAGTAGGGGCCCAGGCACTTGGGTCATCTTTTGATGCTTTCCCTGGATCAGAAACAGAACAGCCAGGACTGTAGCCAGCACCCATATGGGATGCTGGCATTGCAGGTGGTGGCTTTACCCACCACACCAAAAAGTCAGCCTGAATCTTTTTTTCCCTAGTGCTTTCTCTTTCATGGGCTGTCAGGCCCATCCTATTTGTTTTAGTTTTTACTTTATAGTTCCAGAATTTCTCTATGATACTTAAGTAAAATGTCTATATTAGCTTGGTTTCCCATGAGTTCTCTCATTGAGAACATGTTGTCTTTTAAATCTTTGAATGTACTTTCCTCTGCATTTTGAATTTACTAGCATTTCCTTAAAGCCTTTGCTAAACCCAACGTGTGAAACATCTTGATGGCAGTTTCTATTGAGTCCTTGGTTTCACTGTAAATCGGATTTTCCTGTTTCCTTACATATCTGGGAACTTCAGGTTATTTAATGGTCCCCATGGAGGATTCCTCACGGAGGCTCTGGATTCTGCCATGCACTTGACTTCTGCCATCTGCTTTGTCCCTACGGAGGCCTCCTCCCTCTGGGGAGCCTCAGATAGTCTCCCTCCCCCACATATGTGCATCCCAGGCCTCAGCCAAGAACTCATGGACACTGCGCATGACATCTCTGCCCCCCCCCCCCCGTCCACGGCTCTATCCTCTCCAGTACCAGGATTTGTGGGTCACAGCTGCTCCGGCAGCTTTGTGCCCCTAAACACCTCGCTGTGCTGTGATTGGAAAGCTGTTCCCCAGGAAAGAGCCAGGGCAATTGTGGGGTGCATCTCGCAAGGCCTACAGGCTATCCTGGTGCTAGGAATTCCATCTGAGTCAGACCAATGACCTGATAATGTCTTCATTTTCTCCCTTCCCCTCCTCACCATCCACTGAGGCAAGTTCCATATCTGTTGGCTCAGCTGAGAGACGAAGCAGCAGAGAGAGAAAATGGTGCAAAGGTACAGTCTCTCCAGACACTAAGCCTGTGAAGAAGTAGGGCTCTCTAGGGAGACCACCCAGAGAAAGGAGGAATTGACATATGAGAGCAATGGTGAGGGGGCTCAGATTCCTGGACAGCCTCCCAGGAGCAGCAGGATCCTGGGAGATGGCCCTGCTGCCCACGGTGTCTAAGCTGGCATTGCCACCAGCAGTCTCCTGCCCTTGTGTGGCACTGAGGCAGCAGGAAGAGTCCCACAGCCCCAAGCGGAAGTGACCAGAAGTGGAGGGGGAACGTCCGCAACTCGAAGATCACAGGAGCACAAGGGCGATGCTTTGCTGTGACCTGTGAGAGAGGACCACAGACTGGTGTCCCTCCAGCCCACGCCTCTGCAGAACATGAGGCCTAGAACACGGAGAGAAGCCCCTACATTCACGAGATTAGTCTGACTCTCTAACAGACTGCGAACCGTAACTTGTTATGTACAGATAGACAGAAGTCTGTTCATGGCACACCTCAGTTGGTAAACAGAGATTTGTGTCATAATCACCATCGCAGCCCCCGTGGACAAGGACTTTCCTGCAAGCTGTACGTCCATTATCTTATTTACTTTTTAAAATATATATGTATGTATATTTATTTATTTGAAAGGCAGAGCAACAGAGAAAGAGAGAGAAATCTTCCTGCCATTGATTCTCTTCCCACATGGCCGCAACAGCCTGATCTGAGCCAGCTCCAAAGCAGGAGCCAGGAGCTCCATCCACTTGGGCGGCAGGGGCCCAAGGACTTGGGCCATTCTCCTCCGAGCTCATTTATTGGGAGCCCATAACCTCATCCTCCTCTGATGACTCCTATAATGTGGAAAGCTCATGATAAAAACATACACCTACTTGGCACCAGGAGTTAATGCTAAGGATCTCAGTCACGTCGTCGTCATCCTAAACCTATGCGGCATGTCCTGCCAGCTCTACTTTTCAAGTGTGGAAGCTGGAATTCGGAATTGTGAAGTGAGGATGGTATTTAGATCCCAGCCCTCTGGAAGTCACTTTATATCCCTTGCCATCAAGGAAACAAGATCTAAGGGCCTAACAGGAATATCCACAATATGATTTACACAATGAGTTTCTTTACATAACTTAAGCCAACCCCCTTTTTTTCCCA